TGTTTGGTCACATCTGCCTTAGCGTTAAATAAAACAAACCACGGATGTTGTTACAGTCTGATGTCAGATATTCTCAATAAGTACTTTTAAATAAATAAAAGCACTTAAGACGAATGGTACATTCCTATTTTGGTACATCCCGTGTGGTTATCAGTCACACTTTGTAGATTAGTGTTGTTTGTGCATATTATTATTGTACATCTGGAGGCTCTGTTCCCTCATGATGTTCCCCGTCACATCCTGGACTCCTCACAGCTTTCGAGGGATCCCGACTACTCGGAACAATAGACCTTATCTGATAAACATTTGCTCCGGCTATAAAAACAAGAGCATAAACAAAATATAAATTTGTGAAATTTAATGTCACATGGACATGGCCGTGTTGTTAATGCTGTAATGCATTCTGGGAAAATTATGTAGACATGTTTCTCCACCCAGCTACATCCCCATCCTGCAGCTGAAAACGACAAAGACAAAAGATGAAGAGAGAGTCGGACAGAAGAGCCGCTGTTTGTGCAGCTACTGAGAGCGCTTCTGCCGCAACGAGCTCCGCCTTCTATCGCGAGCTGCTCATGACGAGTATCCGCAACAAAACATGTTCTCATATATGTTAGAAAAGTGTGTTACATGTTATATAGGGCTGGGCGATATGGACCAACATGAATATATCGATAGTTTTAAGATAAATCGCGATATATGATGTATATCTCGATATTTTTTTTCTTTCCACGAAATAATAACAAAAAAATATTTCTGAGTCAAAGCTTTGTCCCGGTCTCAGCTGTAGAACAAGACGGCTAAAGCGTTAGCCGTCTCGTTAGCTGCTAAGATAAGGACCGTGTGTTTAGCGATATGATAAGATGCTGATTTATTAATGTCGCGCTCTCACTGTTCCTCTCTAGAGATGCACCGATACGATGCAAATATCGGTATCACTACAGGTATCGGAAAACTTCTGGATCGGGTATCGGCAGTGGTGGCATGTAACGAAGTACAAATACTTCGTTACTGTACTTAAGTACATTCTTCATGTATCTGTTCTTTACTTAAGTAGAGTTAAATGTGGGTACTTTATACTTTTACTCCACTACATTGTACATCAAGTATCTGTACTTTCTACTACACTACATTTCTATGATGCGCTGCATTACAAGTTACATTCATGTTACGGCTTTTTGATTTGTTTGTTAGGTTGAAAGTAACCAATGGTGAGAGGGGAGCTGGTCCATTGAATCACTGCAAAGTGGGCAGGTAACGTTAGGCCCGCCTTCAAGAAGAGCTGGGCCAATGACTTATTCTACTATATACATCATTAAGCTGGGTGCACCCACAGCACCACTAACACACCAAAATGTATTTCACTGCAAGAGAGTCAGCCAGAAGACATGCTCCACCCATGGCCTTATTGAAAGACTACTCGGTACAACAGGACAGCTTCTCTCTCCCAAAAGAGCCAGATTGGACTCAAAAAACTTTGAAAACCAACTTCTTCTGAACTTGAACAAGAAATTCTTGCTGCAATATTAAAATGTGTCAGTTCATGATGTTAGGACAGGAGACAAGAGATGTCTCCAAATGTCTCGACGCTCAGGTCCAAGTTTTGAAAATGGTGTCAGGAAGAAAAGATCAAAGCTGAATTGTTAAAAAAGTATATATGAAGTAGCTTAGTGTGTTTTTTGTGTTAGAATTAGAAAAATTAGAAAGAGTTATTTATTTTGTTCTGTTACTTGAAGATAATTATGATTGAAATAATTGTTTGAAAAAAGGGGCAGATATAATAAGATGTTTTCTTCTTTCTGCTGCCTTTCATTTTAAAATCTCTTGTATCTTTTTATATTGTTATGGAATTGTTTTGTACTTTTTTTTAAATGAATAAACTTTATACCATACCAAGTTAAAATATTGTTCACTGTTGACCCATTACAAGGTCGACTAGACAGTATTTTAATTAGAGCTGATGACACATTGGAGTTGAAATGATCAGAGCCTGTTCCTTTGTTAGTTGTGTCTAATGCCCCTTTTGCTCAAGCAGACAACTTTTACTTAAACATGTTTACTGCAGTTAAAATGGCACATTGGTTTTGCTTTGTGTTAAATAAAATTTTCTAAGGTAAAATCATTCCTCTTTATTTTGTTTAATGGCATTTAACTCTGCAGGTCATCCCTGAAATACTGACACACAGAATCACAAGTCCAAGTGTGAACTGTGTCACAGAGTAAACACAATAAAAACATGTATTATCTGCAGCATCGTTCATTAAAATGACTCAACACTATTAATGTATTACACAAAATATACATATGGTAGGCACAATTAACGATATGTAGACCATTGCATTAATAATTCAGCAAGTACTTTTACTTTTAATACTTTAAGTATTTTAAAAGCAAGTACTTATTTACTTTTACTTAAGTAAAAATGTTAATGTGGTACTTCTACTTTTACTAGAGTACATTTTTGTCTGTTTATTTGTACTTTTACTTAAGTACAGTGTTTGAGTACTTTCTCCACCACTGGGTATCGGTTACAATGTGTCCGAGCCATGACTGGGCAGATCTATTCACTCTAACTCTATGCTTTGTGCTCTGAGTGATGTCACGCGCTAGCGTACTGACTGAACAAATGAAAGTTGTGTTGTTTTTACATGTTTGCCCGAGCTTGTGAAGCTCTTGGTGTATTTGTGCTGTTATGGTGCAGAGTTTTCAATAAATTTGTAATTCAATACATTCATGTCTGCGTTTAACAAAACTAATGTTTTAAGTTAATTCAGCACTTGGTTTGTAAGCTCAAACATCCAGGTAGACAACAAAAATGGCTAAATCATGTCATCGGGACCTGTTTCAGAAACTGGTCCAGATGACGTGATTTAGCCATTTTTGTTAATTCGGCACATTTTTCTGTATCGGATCGGTATCGGCCAACAATAAACATCAGGTATCCGTATCGGAAGTGAAAAAAAAAAAGAAGTGGATCGGTGCATCTCTATTCCTTTCATAAGGCACAGCACGGCTAAATGAGTTCTGACCCATGGTTTGTTTCAGGGAAGGAGGCTGAAAACGCACTCGGAGCTGCAGCTGCAGATTCACACACGTGTCATACGCCACTTACAGCTGTTTTGAATGGTGAAAAAGATCAGTAGTTCCGACCTTTTGTCGGGACTTGTTTTCAGCATGGTCTACAGAAATAATTTTTCTGCTGCTCATCTGACAATTTAAATCCAAACCATCTCCGAACAACCATTGTTTTTCTTTTTGCTCAGCAGCTAAGCTGCTCTTCATACAGTATATCTCCCGTGTTTACTTGTTGTGCTAAACGTCTCTCGCCCACCTCCTGGTGAAGCAGGAAGCGGGGAGAGCGCGGGAGGGGCTGGGTTTGTATTCAAGGAGGGTCCGCGTGGGAGAAAGAAGACAGCAGGAGGATTTTCAAATATAACACATCATTTATAGCGACATAGTCTCATCTTATATTGCAAAAAATATATATCTCTATGGGCAGCACGGTGGCGCAACTGGTAGAGCTGCTGCCTCTCAGCGAGCAGGTCCTTGGTTCAAACCCCGGTCCAGGGGCCTTTCTGGGTGGATTTTGCATGTTCTCTCCGTGCATGTGTGGGTTTTCTCTGGGCTCTCCAGTTTCTTCCCACAGACCAAAAACATGCATGTTAGGCTGATTGGTAACTCTAAATTGTCCCTAGGTGTGAGTGAGAGAGTGAATAGTTGTTTGTCTCCTTTGTCTCTATGTGTCCCTGTGGACTTGCGACCCGTCCAGGGTGTCCCCCGCCTCTCGCACAGTGATTGCTGGACATGGGCACCAGCGACCCCCGTGACCCAAAATGGAGTAAACGGGTAAAGATAATGGATGGATGGATATATCTCTATATTTTTTAAATATCAAGATATCACCCAGCTCTAACATTATATAATATTAAATGTGTTTTTTTCACTTTGCACATCCGTCCAGCCATTATCTGCTACTTGTCCTAATTTGGATCGCAAGTGTGCTGGAACCGTTGTAAAAAGCTAAACTTTGTACCGCCACAGAGCAGTACACAACAACGCTTAGCAAACAACCACTCACGAATCATGAGGAGGACATGTGAGACAACAGAGCTGGTTTCTGGGTGGTGGGCCTCAGTTTAAGCCTGTTAGCTTTGCATTAGCTCCAGAGCTAACATACTAGTGTTTCCTCTGCTATTAACCCTAACCCGCCCAGTCAACAGAACCAAGCTCCCTGCCTAACGACCCCACCCCCACACACGGGCAATAACTATCGGTACTGATGTAGCGCAGGGTGCAATACGCGCTAGCAAAAATGCTACTGACTTACCACTCCACACCCCGGCCCCTGTCCATAAAAACCGGCAGCAATGTAACACTAAGCTAAAGGGTCGGGCATCACAGACCTGACTCCACCTCCCCCCCGGTCAACTAAAATAAAATAAGACGAGTGTCCCACCAAGGGAATTGATCTAGGGGAAACACTGCATACTAAACATCACAAGTTGATCACGTTTGATCGTTTCCACCCATATGTTGTTCATAACGACGCAGAGACTTATACTAAACAGAACTTTACTGTCACACATCATAACTTTTTAGTCTTGACTTGTTGTGTTTGTCTCAACTCAATGTTTCCCCTACTATTGTACAAGGAGGGCGCCCTCACCCTATCAACAGAACCGAGCGCCTTGCCTACCGAACTGAAAGCCAAAGTGGTTCAAAACATCAAAGTTCATGCTTTCATGGGCCCCAGAAACCATCTTATCACCAGAAAACTGGTTGGCCCACTATCTGGGTGTGCTGCTTGTGGGACTGAGTCTGTTGTGGCTCCTCAGACTGAAGAAGTCCTTACGTCTCAACAAAAAAAGAAACCGTGCAGATGATCTGGCTGAACTTGGTGGCGAACATTCACAGCCCAGTGAGACACAGGTTTTACTCTTCGTGTATTCTCTTCACTCTAACTTATTCTCAAACAAGGTGTGTGTCATGTGCATTGATCTTACCACCAGCGGCAGCGTGCAGATGATGAAGATGATGGTCATGAAGACCAGCATGATCAGGTGCTCCACCTCCGTAGCCATGGACATGGTCCTGCGCTCGCTGTTGGACCTCGTGGGCACCATCATAGACCTGTGTCGGTTCCTGCGTTTGTACATCTTGTAGAGATGGTACATCACAAAGCCATTACACACCACAATGGTGAGTACTAGGACCAGCATAATAGTGGCATATATGTTAGCATAGGCACGATCCTCCTTCCCGTCTGGGTTCATGTCAATAAAGCACCATGTGCCAGGGCAGTATTGTACATACCTACCGAATCCCGCAAATGGGAGCAGACAGAATAATGTAAATGTGAAAAACATCACTGGGATTGTGATATAAACCCATTTTTTGGTGACATGCCGGCTGTACAGGTAGGGGTACCCTATGGCAAAGCATCTGTCTAGTGCCATAGCCAGGAGAAGTGACATGGTGGCCAGAGTGAAGAAGGTCATGCTGACACCAAAGTAATGACAAACACTGCTGGTGCCGTTACCTATAGGCATCATCTCAACAAAAGTCATGTTCCAAGCATACGACAGCTGCACAACCGGACTGATCAGGCAGGTCCCAGCCAGGTCCGTGACCACCAGCGATATGATGAGGATGTGAAACAATCCGGTGCGATGCAGGTTCTTAGCTCTGGAGTCTCTGCGTCGTCGGATTTCCAGGATCACCAGTGCCGTGACGTTACCAAAGATGCCTGCGCCGAACATGATGGCACTGATCAGCGGGCTCTCGTTTGGGTCAAGGGTCTTCTTTAAGTGGCACGTGTCGTTATATATATCCATTGTGGCAGAAGGTTGGCTTGGTTTAATGAGAAACTGCTTCCATGATTCCCATTAAAGCTTTAAAATGAGACGTTAATAGTTGTCTGGAGTCATCCTGGTGAATCTAAAAGAAGAAAAATACCTCTTAAATTCATATTTATTTATACTATCAACCCAGTCATATACAAAAATAAGGGTTTCTTACCTGTATTAGGAATTTGGTTTTATTGGTCGACTCGTGCACATTTCACCAACAATCTACAAAATAGACAATCCAAAAAAGCAATTTTTATTACACTAATACACGTGTTGGTTTATGTAGAAATGCCTTAATGGGAAGTAATCCCTCGCGATTTCGCAGTTCGACTTTCGCGGACTCGTTGTTTCGTGGTTTTTCAACGTTAAGATTGTACACGACACACGATTGGCTGATTCATGGAAGGAGACCAGCCAGAGCGTTGTTCTCTGTATCCCGACGCTGACTGGCTCAGTAACCGTAGCAGTCTGTCTTGCTCTGTATCCCGGGTGCTGACTGGCGAACACAGAGATCTGTTACGCCAACATCTGTAGCAGTAGTAGAAGTTGCGTCCAAGGGTGAAGATACTGCACCACCCTGAAGATGTGGTGCCTTTAGAAGAGCTGTAAATGCTCTTCTTGGCTGTGCAGTACACATTCATCTCATCTTCATCGTCATCAGTACTGCACAGCTAATTCATCGCATCCTTCAAATTGTAATTGTATCTTCACTGGTGAGTACCCATATAAAGACTTTTTTAAAGGTTTAAGAGTTTAGAACATTGTTAAGAACCTTGCAAGAGTGTGGGAAGGGTTTATAAATTTAATTCAATTCAATCCAGAAATACTTTATTAATCCCAAAGGGAAATTAAGTGTTGTTGTAGCTCGTCATCGTGGTTTCATTTAAGAGTTGTTATAGATGCAGATAGCTGTGGGCAGGAAGGATCTCCTGTAGCAAATCCGAAGAATCTGGCCACAAACACCGATACGTCCACCTGGATCCAGCTTGCTGTCAGATCCGGCGGGCCTCTCGGTCCTCCTGGGCAGCAGGACTGCCTGAATGCCGGGCAGAATTCCTCCATGAGAGATGGTCACTCCTCCCAGCAGGCGCCTTGTCGCCACGGACAGACAGCTGAAGGTGCCGAGGGATGATCCCGGTCCTCTCATTATCACGAGCCGAGTTTCCCAGCTCCAGGATCTCGGCGGTCAGGTCCTCCAGCACCGCCACCAGGTTGACGGGAGTTGGTCCACGGCACCTCCTTTTCAACTCATTTGGGATTTGGGGCTGTATTTGAGGTAACATTTGAGCTTTGAGATGTTAATCAGCTGCTTCTGTTTTTTTTTTTTTTAAACACCTTGTTGCTATGGTTACGCATCATAACAAATGCCCAAAGGTAAAAAAAAGTTTCAGTAAAAATCCTTCCAGCTGTGCAGCATCCGATACCAGAGGAAATTATTTACATCCAGAAAAAAAAGAGAAATTAAAGTTTTCAAAATAAATAACTCAGAATGAATGTGACAGAGCTACTCCAACATGCAGCTACCCCGAGCGGCGCAATTCTAGAACACGGCCTCAAATAAAGTCTTAAATATATAAATAGAGGGAATACCGTACTTACTTTCTTGTCACTGACCAGACAGTTGCAGCATCACGAGGAGAAGATGTTTACTGTTTTGACTCAACGTCAGCCATTCTAAATACATGGATCCCTCTAATGTTGCACGCCCTAGTCTGGTTTAGATTATCCAGGCAATGAAAGAGCTCTTCCCGCCCCTCAGTCTATGATTTTAATAGAGGGCCATTTTGCATATTCTAAAAAAACAAAAAACAAACAAACAAAAAAAACAGTTCTTTAACTCTTTCTCCAGATTTACCAGTGAAACTAGAAGTTGTTCCTCTTTTAACCAATATCATCTGACAGGCGTTGTCATAGATTTCCCAAGAAAATCTATGCAAACACACACATATATATATATATATATATAAATAAAGGTTTTGCGTAAATTGGCCATCCTGAAACATAAAAGGCTTTTTGAAGCGCCTGCTGTTAATAACAGACTCCAGTATATCAAACTTAACAGCTTCTCTTTGTGTTCATGATTTTTTTTTTGTTCTATGTCCATAAATTACTTATGGTTGCATGTCTCCTCTGGGGGAATCCTGTGGTATCAGATGTTCAAGATTCAATAAAAAAAAGATGCATAAAGAAGAGCCATAAACACTGGTTAGATCTCTGACAGATGTTTCCAGATGTTGGTCTGCATCTGCAGAAGTTTGCTCATATCAGCTATGATAGACAGTATGCACATCTGCATATATTAATATGCATATCATCAGCATATCTGATGATATCAGATATGCTCACTCTTTACATCCTTGTGTTCAATGTTTAAAAATAAGGATTTATTTAAAATAAAAGGCTAAAACGAGTTGAAACTAGAGCCGAATAGCAGCTGAAAACATCCCCGAACTCCACTTTTAAAAGAAACCGAACTCCTTTACTGGATTCTCACAGAAATGGGAGTTATTTTTAAATTGTCATTTTGAAAGTAGAGGACTGGCGCGGCTCGCCGACTGTCCCGTTCGCGCGGACCACGCCGGGCGCTGAAGTTTCTCACCTGCTTCACGAGCCGTTCCGAGTTTGTTCCGCGCGTGGACACGTCCGGGTTTAATAAAGGGAGGAAAAATGTCCAGTTTTGCCGGTTACTTCTCCATTGGAGCCGCTCGGGTTCGAAGGTAAGACGTGGTTGTTGAGACAGGAGAGGCGCGCGCCGCTGTGATGAGGATGGCATGAATGGACTGGAGTACAAGGGTCGTGACGTCATCAAACCACGCCCATATAAAATTACACGTTAAGCCTAATTGTGACTGTTTCCAAGCGACACTAAAGCTAAAAAAAAAACAGCAACAAAAAAAACTTTGTTTTGTTATTTATTTATTTTTGACTTAAAGCATCATGCAGGTATTGGTGTTTATTTTCAACCTGATGTCATATAAAAAAAGATACTAAAGTTCATGCTCAAAGATCCAGATAAAACGTTCAGTCAGGTCATCTGGACGGTTTCTTTTTTGCTGAAATGTTTTGACCTTAATCCAAAGGACTTCTTCAATTTGAGGAGCTGCCAAAAAAGCTGATTCCCACAAACAGCATTTCTCCCTGAGCAGTAGTGATGGGGAAAGACATCACCCCCACCCTCTCCTTTCTCTTTCTGAGGCTGTCTGTCACAGCAGAGAAAGAGAAAGGAGGGGGTGGGGTGAGGTCTGTTTTTGCCCATAGTTTCTGCTGTGACAGCCTCAGAAAGAGAAAGGAGGAGGCGGGGTAGGGTGTGTCTTTCCCCATAGTTTCTGCTGTGACCGCCTCAGAAAGAGAAAGGAAGAGGCGGGGTGTGTCTTTCCCCATCGCCAATCGTGTGTCGTGTATAATCTAACGCCGAAAACCCGCGAACGTCGAACCGCGAAGTATCGAGGGCCTACTGTACTTTTAAGCAACATAAAAACTAAAAAGCGGTTTTCTCACGTAATCGAGGCGGCCGGTTTACACACACATATGTATACATATATATATATATATATACATATATATATATATATATATATATATATATATATATATATATATATGGTGGTGGTGGCCATTTTGGATTTATCCGTGGCAATCCAGTCTTTGAAGGCTGCACAGAAGACCATTGGAATCAGTCTCTCCACCATCACAGACCTTTACACCTCCAGATGCAGGAAGAGGACCACCTGCATCATGAAGAACCTTACTCACCCAGCACACACACTTTTTGGTCTACTCCCCTCAGCCAGGAGGTAGAGGAGCATTAAATGTTGAACCACTAGACTTAGGAACAGCTTGTACCCTGAGGCTGTTAGACTCATGAATCCCTAATCAGGATTATCACTGGGGCATAATCACTGTAATGCCACTTGATTGCTGATATGTGCTGTTGATTATCCATGCTGCTGATCTCATGCTGCTGATTTATTTCATGCTGCTGTGTTCATTCGTACTCACCTGCTCACACAGACTCATGTTCGTGCTGCTGTTGTTCGATATATTGTTTTTGTAGTGCTTAGCATGTACCACATACGATGTGCATGACAATAATGAAACCTTGACCTTGAAAGGAACCTGTTTTATGCCAAGATGCAGCCACACACCAAAATGGAAGTTGGCACCGCACTTTTTTTTTTTTTTAGGTTATCGCGTGCACAACATGCACGGACAGGTGGACGGACGGACAAACAGAGAGCATTTCCAATTCCCCGTTTTTGCTACGTGAAGATGGACAGAAAAACTAAAAGTTTAGCTTCCAGCATAATTAAAGAATGAGGCAGTTTAGGAAAACCACTGAACCCTTTTTAAGCTCCCTGAGGCAAACACTTGATGTATTACATTTCCAAAAACATTGGGCAGGAACACTTTCCTTTGTGCGACGTGATAGATCAGAAATATGAGCTGCTCAGTCGGCATTGGGACGAATTTGACTGCAGCGTGTAAGCTGGTATATCATATACTCACACGTTTCCACCCTCGACATTTTGAGTTTTCAACTCTTGGTTTCCATGGTCTTTCATTTCTCTTGGCACCACTTTCCTTTGGTCACAATAAGGAGAACGAAGCAACGAATGATTCATAGTGAGGTTGTCGTTCGGGGTTCTGCCCTGCTGCCTTTAATTCTGAGGTCATGGTTTTGTGCAGAGAGGATGAGATCAACCATAAAAATTGGAGTATAAGTACTCGTTTTTAAAGTGCTGGATAATGCCTTGGAAGTTATTATAATTGCATCATTTCACCCAGTTTAGGAGGGGAATAAAAGCCAGTCTGGGCCCTAAAATGAGACGTGACGCGCGCTGAAAGCCCTGAAATGACGAGTGCTTTTCTGCACGGCCATTAATGAAATCTTAACGGTGACATATTGTCTCAATGTCTCCGTCTCTGTTTTACCGGAGCATTTATCAAAACGTCCAGCTTGGTCGGGAACTCTGTGCTGAACATCAAAGTTCATGCTCAATGATCCAGGTTAAAAATAAATCCAAGAAAGTGAAGTCGGGTCCTCTGGACAGTTTCTTTTGTTGTTGTTGTTGAGATGGAATGCACGATATTATTGTCACCGTATCGATATCGGTATCGGTAACGGACGAGATTAGCGATAAAGGTAAATATCGGCCATGGGCCATTCCATCAAAATAACTCAGCTATAACCTGGATACTGTAGGTTCATAGTCCTTTATTGTCATTCACATCACATGCATGATGTACAAAATGGTGTACTCAAGGTCTCAGTTATACCCAAAATCCAATCATTTGGATTTTTTTTCACCCAAACCCAAAAATATCCACATTCTGCCTAAATGTTTTACATTGTAGCAGGGTTACAGAACCATCTCTAAATTATGTATTTTAGCAAAAGTGTTTGAAAAGTTGTTCTGCGATCATCTGAATTTTTTTTTTTTTTTAGAAACCAATAATCTTTTAAATCATTTTCAGTCAGGTTTTACTATTTATTGATTTGAGAGGATTTGATACGGTGGATCACAGCATCCTGGTAAATATCCTTCTCAAATTGGGCATCTCCAAAAAAGCATCTTACTGGTTTTGTAGATTATTTGGCAAATAGGACACAGTGTGTACATATGGCTGGAGTAAGCTCAAGTTTTCTTAAAGTAAAAAAGGGTGTACCCCAGGGCTCTATCTTGGGGCCCATCTTATTTACAATTTACATTACTGCACTGTGTGAAAATTCGCAAAATGCCTTCTACCACTTTTATGCTGATGATTGTGTAATTTTGTTCAAATTCAATTGCTCAGGCACTTAAATTCTTACAGGCTGATTTTGACGAGGTGCAGATTCGTCTTGAGCAACTAAAATTGGTTTTAAATGCTGATAAATCTAAAATAAAGATTTTTTTTTTTCAAATTCGTCTGTCCCATTGGAGAACATCCCTCTAATAAAAACTGCCCATGGTAAAGTTCTCGAGAGGGTCTCCAGTTATAAATAACTGGGCTTAATTATCGACGAGTCATTTCCAAATTAAGGGTGAAGCTCCGGTTCAACTTCAGAAAAAATCATGTTTGTCCCTTAGAGCTATGGAGCGCCCAGAGTCCAGTGAAAATCTGAGAATTTCTTGATAATGTTCAGTCACCAACTAGTTGTTAGTGGTCTCAGCCCAGTGAGGTACTGGCTTTAGTTTGTTCATAAGGACCCTGATCCATAAATTCAGTAAAATTCTTGACAATTGTTTTGTATGTTTGGTCGTTCTTTCTTTCTTGCTTGCTTACACAGATCTTTAAATATAGTGCCTGTGTGTGTTTCTACTAAAGGTTTATGCCTAAATCATTAACGAGTTTATTGATTATGATTAATATCTGATGTCCAGAGCAGTCAGGATCCTGTAATTACATAGCTGAGAGGAAAAACATGTCACCACACATAAAACTTAATAAAAAAAAAATTAAGATTACTTCAGTAACAGTGCAAATCATGTTTGGTGTTGCATTGGATTCCAAGTTTTATTCACAGTACAGGATTAAAAAAATGAATTTTACACAGCAGGTTGGAGGAGCTTACCACTAGAACGCCTGAGCTTCGTCTTCAGGAAGTTCCTCGTGTGTTTTATGTTCTGTCTTTGTCTCTGTCTGCAGGTTACTTTGGGTAACTGCACATTTTAACTGCACTGCTGCTGGGCGACAGTTCTTTTGTTTTTACGCCTCCAAAGGATAATTTCCACTCAGTCTCACGTTGGAACCATTTTTTGAGCTGAAATAAAAAGCACGACACAGCGTCTGCCGTTACAAAACATTCATTCAAACTTTATTTATACAGGTTAGACTCGGGGACTCATTTATAAGAGAGACCTGATTTTAACAGAGTGATGACAACAGTGGACCATCATAAAAGAGGCATACAAATGTATTTATTTATTTTACAAATTAAAGTACAATGGCAACCAAAAGGACAGTCAAAAGAAAAAGTAGTGGAAAAAACAGCTAGGTTGTAAGGCGGTGTAGAAAACTAGAAACAGGAACATGTCTGCATTGGTTCTTGCCAGGAACTTAACAGATGTTTGAAGCCACTTAGAGAGGTCAAAGGTCGAGTGATTCAGATCTTTTTACAAGATATTCCAGGAAACAGGAGCGGAGCAGGAGAAGGTCCTTTTGTCTAGTTCTGTCCTCACTGAGAGGACACTGCAGGTAATGATGTCCTGAGAGCGCACGCCGTAGCTGCACTCACGCAGAGACGTGCAGGAGGAGATGTATGAAGGCAGCATAGTCTCATGTTTAAGTGCATTTTTTTTTTAAACCAGTTAACTTAAAAGTGCCCAAATATCCAAAATCTTTCCACGGAGTTGATTTAAATCCAGCAGGAGAGAGAATTTCATTATCTGCGTTTTCTGCCTCGTCTGCCGTGTTGCTGAGGCGGCCGCAGAGCGCAGCCGCGCACGGAAATGGTGACACAGACGTGTTTTGGGAATTTCAAAATAAAAGCGTATTTTAAAGATATGAATCGATGTTTTAGCTTATAACTGAATCATTAATCATTTAATCGATACATCGATTTAAATCGATGTATTGTTACACCCCGACTTGTTTCAATTCTTTCCTGCTTTGGGTTTTTCAAAGCAAACTGTTCTGTTGATACACATTTCCCACAGTTTGCTCAAATATGAAGTCGTTTCTTTTATTCGGACTGAATTATGAGAACTCTCCACCATTTTATATTTGACAAAGTGCAATTTTAAGTGCTGAAAACGGGTCGGTGTTTAAAACTGTAGAAATCCTGTGGCTGATTCAGGCCACGATTCTTGTAACAGGCAATTTTTTTCAACTTGAAGATGTTTCAGAACTTCTTCTTTGTCCCTTGAAGACTAAAACAAGATGTTTTGTGGGAGCTACATAATAGAAGAATGTCCGAGTGCCACTTGAATGCCCCCACTTCCTGTTTGTGCCGTTCAAATAGCGAAACTGAGCAATCTTGAACTGGCTTGTTGGTGCTTTTGCAGGATTTCAGGCAAAGACTTTACATCCAGTTTCAAATATGTTCTCAGTTGCTTCTGGTTGGATACTATTTTAAGATCCAGCTCAACCCAATTCAAGATGGCTGCCACAGCTTATGGACCTTAGCAAACGCACAAAGGGATCAGTCCATTTTACAGATATCGTACTAAATTGAATGTAGTGGTAGCTGAAAGTAATCCACAACGCGTCCTCTGAGCATGACATACAGCGATATCGCATGAGACTCTACAAATTGTAATTGTCGAGATCATAAAACTCTGAAGGGTTTAGATGATTTGCATTCCTTCAGATAATTCTGGACCTTTCATGAAACTCTTTTGTTCCCTCTGCAGTGAACTTAGGCGCCAGGTTAGTTTAGATTCAAGCGTGTTTTAAAGCGAAACAACCAAGAGGGCCAAAAAGCAGTTCTGGGCTTTGTGAATTTATTATTTTCCACGTCAACCATTTAAATTCATTTTATTACACTTTTCCCTGTAAATCCCAGTTGGACATGCCCAGAACACCAGTCTAGGGAGCCATCCTTAACAGATGCCAGAACCACCTCAACTGGATCCTGACAACGTGGAGGAGCAGCGACTCTACTCGGAGTCCGGGAGAGCCCGGCAGCCACCCTGCGGAGGAAACTCATTTTGGTTGCGTCCTCCATCTTGTTCTTTTGGTAACTACCCAGAGTTTGTCGCCATATGAGGGTAGAAACGTTGACCAACCGGTAAACGGAGAGCTTCGCCTTGCAGCTCAGCTCCCATTTCACAACAAAAGACCGGCGCGCAGTCCTCAATACTGCAAAAGCTGCACTGATTCGTCCGCCGATCTCATGCTCCATTCTTCCCTCACTTGTGAACAGAACCCTTGAACTTGAACTCCTGCACTTGAAGCAAAACCTCACCCCCAACCTGGAGAGGGCTTGGCGTCTAACTTCTTCCGCCTGAGGACCATCCATCCATCCATTCATTATCTTCCGCTTATTCCAAAGTCGGGTCGTGGGTCCAGACATCTTTCCACATCCACCTCTTCCAGCTCTTCTGGGAGGACTCCAAGGCATTCCCAGGCCAACCAATAGACATAGTCTCTCCAGCGTGTCCTGGGTCTTCCCTGGGGTCTCCTCCCAGTCGGACATGCCCGAAGCACCTCCCTAGGGCGGCGCCCAGGGAGCATCCTTACCAGATGCCTGAACCACCTCAACTGGCTCCTCGCGACGTGGAAGGGACACTGAGTTCCTTGTTTTATCTTGTCCATAAAAGTATTTTGAATCGCTCTTTGTCTGGCTTGTCACCTAGGACCAATCTGCCTTGGGAGACCCTACCAGGGGCAATTATCCCAGCTGTTTCTCGTGCGAGAAAGAAATCAACAAATGAAGTGTATTTTCTTTGATGTCGGTCAGTTTATCTTTTGATTCTGAGCTAAGTTGTTTAAAATGACAAGGAAGACGAGTTCAAGTTCTGTTTTCACTTCGCGAGTAAAAACCACGAGGGGCGCTCACTAAAAGGATCATAAGCAGTCCAAAAATATGTATTTATCTTCTCTCTTAGCTCAAAGTTCTTAACGAACAACAGACTGTGTTTGAAAATTTATAGTGTTTGCAGTTGTATCCATTAATTTTCAACACTAAATCTACAAACACTTTCACTACAAATCCATCCATGTGGACTGGAAAGTGTGTATTGCGCATCCTGCAGTTTGCAGTTCCATCCTCTAGATGGCCCCCAAGCTCTGAAGTGTTAGGGTTGCGCCAAAAATAAAGGCTCAAACAAAAAGTTACTCAGGGCTGTGAGTTGTGGTTTATTGTTTTCACTGAGGCCAATGGCTAAAAATTATCCTCAAGATACATTCGTCAAATACACTTCAGTTTGAAAATTTTAAATGTTGTTGCAAACGTGAGCAAATATTTATAGTTTATATATTAAACACAAACTTTTCTAGTGTGAAGGCAGAAGGAACATTGCCAGGCACTGAAATGGGTGTCAAGCACGGTGGTGGAGGGCTGATGGTTTGGACTTGTTTGATAGTCATGACGATTCCATTGGTGGATGGATGGCTCCTCAGATTGAAGAAGTCCTTTGGATGAAGGATGGAATGCCTCAGCAAAAACGAAACCGTCCAGATGACCTGACTGAACGTTGCTGGATTATTACCTGGATTACTGAGCATGAACTTTGGGGGATCATGTATTTCATAACTTGTGCACGTGGACCGCTGCAGTTGCTGGTTTCAAACACCAGATGGTGCTCAAGCTTTCGGTGTGCCCGGTTGACGGACTTGTTCTGGGTTCGGGACTGACCCATACAAACAGACTGTCGACAGGTCACAGTTAAGGAGAAGTTTTAATCTGGTGGTTTTAAAAATTGTTAATTTCAATAACGTTTGCATTATTAAATAGTTAAAAACAGTGTCTGTTTTTGGTTAAAAACACATGTAACTGTTGAGAAACATCCGGATAAAAAAAAAAAAAAAAAAAAAAAGAAAAATCTCTATTTGTTTTTCTTTAATTCTAACCAGATGTTACCTCCAGCACCCGGGCCTGCTGTCACTCATCCCGCCTCTGACCAATCAGAGCGAGCCGCTGCTCCTTGGCCCCGCCCCCCGGGGTTCCCTCCCCGCAGAGCAGCGGGGGGTTCGGTCGGAGGGGACGGGACGGCTCTCCTCCTTTCCGCCGCTCCCCCCGCGCGAGTGCGGCCGCTCCTCTCTGGTTCTCAGAGCCTCCTGGGCGCGGACATGGACGGAGGAGCGATGCTGGCTGCGGCGGTGCTGTGCTGGAGCTGCGGGGTGGTCGGTGCCGTCCACCGGAGCGACCTGTTCCCCTTCGGAACCCCGAGCGGGGACGTGGTTTTACCGGAGGGCGACGACGAGACGTCCAAAGTGCTGAACCTGCCCAAACCCCTGTACTTTTACGACTCCGCTGTCTCCCAGCTGTATGTAAGTTCAGGATTTTTACTTCTCCTCAGGTGGAACAGCCAGTGAAGAGGTTAATTAAAGGTTAATTAAAGGTCAATTAACGGCCAATTAACGGTTAATTAAGGGCTAAAGGAGGGGAACTCCACGATAAAGAGTTTAGGAACCATTTAGATTGATTTCATTGTCTTAAAAGGACTACAAAGTACACCTTTCACTAACCGTGCACTTTTTAATTAGCACAGGGGCGCTGCAAAAAGATTTTCAAAGGGGGCCCCAGATGGGGGCCAATGTTAATCTTTTGGGTGGCACATCAAACCATATTACAGATTATTTTTTAATGCATTTACAGAGGGATTAGCTTATAAGTTGTAATAAAAATATGTATATTTTTAACTCTTATTTGCTCAGAAACAATGTTTGTTTTTATGTTTATCAGGTTTTACCTATCCTAAGTAGATGGGGGAAATTAAAGATGGACACCAAGCAAAAGACAGGAATTTTTGGAAGAAAAAAACTTGTCTGGTCAAAGGGGGGCCAGTTTGGGGGGTGGGGTGGGGTGTTTTTTTAAGGGTGGCCATTGCTGCAGGAAGAGGATCAGGGCAGCAATGGTTTTTAGTATTATTATTTTTAAGAATTTTGACTTGCGTTTAATGTTACAAATGTGAGATTAAAGTCAAAATTATGAAGAAAAAATATCAATTGTGGCCCTAATTTTTTTCTGTATTGGCCCCACCTTGGTGGTGGTGGAGCCCCCGACTAAATATATATATATAAAGTGTAAAATTCCCCCATGCTTGATACAATGCAACATGTTTTTGGGACTAACTGTCCCCCATTAATGACAGTTCGTGCCCCTAACCCAGAAAAACCTATCACACCTATTGAATGAGAAGATGGTGCGTTATTAAACTCGAGATAGCAGAAAATAAGCAAATGAAGTTTATTAAAATTGTTCAGTCATTTATTAAACTATTAGCCATAAGGCTGGCATACCTATCAGATAATTTATTTTTTTATTTATTTACACAGGGAAAGACCCACAATCCTTTGAAAACTCTTTTGGTTTAAATGTTTAAAGTATAAACTAACCTACTCCTATCGCCATAAATCAGTATGTTAATTGATTTCTTACCTGTCATTTTATATTTATAGCATTGACATACACACATGTAGTTTATAAAACTAGAGATTGAACTGGAAGCTGGAAGTTGAAGCCTTCACGAACGAGTGCCTCCCGAGTGGTTGGCTGATGTACCGTCTTTAAGCCCCACCCCTCCATGTAAATAAAGAGACCTGTTGGGAAGTTGTGGATGAAGGACTTTTATATGGAAATTATAGTTAAATGTCCCAAAAATTCGATGTGGCAGCAGCCCCAAAAATGGATATTTTATCTTTAATTTGGACGTTATTGAAGTTCATCCACCTTTATTTATGTCATTGTGGACTTTGTGAAAACCTTCCACGCCCAATCCTGTGATCAATCAAAGCAAACTCAATAGGATAGTTCAAATTATTTAAAGTTAGGATGTGCGAAAAGTTATGAAAAATTTATACCTTAAAAAACAGAATTTCATTCTGATTGCATCGACAAGCTAAAGGCTAGTCCGAGTGGTGTCAAGCCCTAAATGGGTTGTTGCTGCCCTAAAACAAATCAATTCTCAAAAGATTCATAGCTATTCATAGAAACTCTGTTTCTGTTTCACATTGTACAGAGATTTGGGCAGAAATATTAAAATATTCCTGTTGAGAAGGCCCTGGACTGCACCGAAAGAGCTACAGCTAGCTGCCTCTGCCGCTATTTGCCTGAGCAAAAAAAACAACTAATCAACCAAAAAAAAAAACCTGCACTACCTTTATTATCACCAACGATATAAAGGCATGTAAAACAGCACTGACTGATGTAAAAAAATTTAGATTTACGAACAACAAATATAATTTTAGCTTTTGAGCTAATTCGGGCACATTTAAAATTCTGTTTAATAAATAATATTGATGTAGTGTTTCCCCTACCGTTACAATATACAAGCAGGGTGTCCCCCCCCTCCCCCCCGTCGACAACTGTCGGTATTGATGTGGCGCAGAGCGCAATACAAATGTGCTAGCAAAAATGCTACTGACGTACCGCTACACATCCCCCCAACCCGGTCAATAAAAACTGGAAGCAACATAGTACTAAGCTAGCGGGCGGGCAACACAGACGTGACTCCGTCTCTCCCCCACCCCCGTTGACAAAAATAAAATACGACGAGTGCCCTGCCAAGGGAACTGCTCCAGGGGAAACACTGGGATGAATGTGCATGAAAATGTAAATGAAATAATAAACTAAAGTGAAAAGTTGAGGTTTTTGAAGATGACAGCAGTCCACTTTGTTCCCGCTCTGACTAGCCGTTAGCTCGTTAGTCTGGTTAAACTTAAACTGTTTCTCCAAGCTGAAGACAAGTATTTGTTCTTTCTTGGATTCACAACCATAAAAAGTCTATAGATAGCACTTTAGCTAACCAAAGGGATGATATACAAGGAAAACTTAAATATTTAGAGTCTAATGGGAAAGCATTTAAAAAATAGGAATAATATGAATTAGAACACTATGTTCTATTTCAGTAGTCCCTCGATACTTCGCGGTTCGACTTTCGCGGACTCACTCTTTGCAGGTTTTCAATGTAAGATTGTACACAACACACGAATAGTGCTAGGGAAAGACAGACCCCACCCCCACCCCTCCTTTCTCTTTCTGAGGCTGTCTGTCACAGCAGAGCAGAGGCACACAACAGGCGGGCGCACCCTGTTGTGTGTCTCTGCTCTGCTCTAACATACAGCCTCAGAAAGAGAAAGGAGGGGGCGGGGTGGGGTCTGTCTTGCCCCATTGGTACTGTTCAGTCTGTGGGAGCTGATACCTGAGTGATCGCATGGATTGTTTATTCAAAATAATCAAAAACCGAGCCTTTCGTCTTGCCCCTTGGCGATCACTGAGCAGGCCAGGCCACTGGAAAATGTCCCGGTGCTCAGGATGGCCAGTACGACTCTGCATTTGGCTCGGTAACCGTAGCATCGGTCTCTCTGCTGTCTTTTGCTCTGCTCTTTAAGAGTTTAGAACATTGTTAAGAACATTGCAAGAGTGTGGGAAAGGTTTATAAAGCCTTAAAATATATATAAATACTAAAATAAATATAACGTCCCTACTTTGTGGATTTTCACCTATCGCGGGGGTGTCTGGAACGTAAACCCCGTGATACGTGAGGGACTACTGTACACAGTATTATTCCCCTGATTTCATATATTCCAGCTGCAAATTGTACAAATTGTAATCTGTAATGCAGTGTAAAAACAAAACAAGACTCATTCTGATGTGGTTTGTATGTCTGAAGCTTAATCAAGGTCCAACTGGGGGTATCCTTGAGGGGGTTCCAGTGGTTTATAGTGGTAATGAAGGAGTTCATTATGCGGTTCCTGGGATTTGTGAGTGGGTGCGAGTGGTTTATAGGGGGATGTGGGTTCATTAGGAGGTTCCTGAGCAATCACGGTGGTGTTTTACACCAAAGTTTTCTACTTCTTGCTTCAGGTGGCCACCAATGGCATCATATCGGCTCAGGACCTGCCAATGGAAAAGCAATACGTTGATGATGGATTCCCTACAGATTTTCCTGTGGTGGCTCCGTTCTTGGCTGACATCGACACCAGTGGAGGGCGAGGACAGATTTATTATAGAGTGACTGAAACACCCAGCGTACTCAACAGAGTGGCCCAGGTAAGTGGTTTTACATGAACAAACGAGCTGTCCTTAAAAACTCTGGCTAAAAACTTATATTCTTCTTTTTTTAAGTTCTTTGTTCATTAGTTCAGTCCATTATCTTCTTTTACGTCCCTCATTCTGTCCCTTCTTCATCCATTGGTTTGTTCGTTGACTCTCAGGAGGTTCATCGGGGGTTCCCAGATGCAAAATTCACACCCACGCATGCCGTGGTAGCAACATGGGAAAACGTCGCCGCATATGAAGACCAAGCTCAAAAAACGGGGGTTTCAAACAAGGTAAGACAGGTGAAGACGTTGGTCAAATTGTACTTTAGCATCATCGCATTAGCACATAAATTTGTGAAACACACAACTCTCAAATCCTGTAATTTGTGTATTACTAAGAAGTCTTAGCTGGAGGGGGTCTATTTGTAATCTCTTCCATTCTACTCCTAATCTGCCTCTTAACCTTTTAAAGGGTCAGAGGGCATCTTTAAAGTTCATCAAAATACCTCCCACTCTCCAAACCCATCATCCCCTCCTCCAGTTCACTGAAATGCCTTGACCACTCATGCATTGACCATTACTCCCCTCTCTAATTGTTAGCCAGTAATTATTAGGTTTCTCATATTTCAAGCCATTACAATTGGTTTTTTTGTTGTATAATTCCCATAAACTATCATGTTTTAGGAGAATGTAAAAAGGGAATTGTTGTTAAATGACTCAGTTAGCTTTGGGCAACCAATTCAACCTTGTTTGTTAATTTATTCTTGTTCAGTAAAATCAGTGCCAAGTGTTTCCGGCGGAACTATGAGAACCGTTACGAGGTTTGTTTGCTACCCCAAGAAAGGCTAAGGTCTATCTTCAGTGAGCTCTTGGGTCTTTTTGCAATTATTTTACAACAAACAAGAGGGAAGGTCCTCAGGAGGTATATAAAGTATGTGTTTAAATCTTTATAATTAGAATTCTTAATGGAAATCAAACAAATCTGAAATTGCAGACTTCAGGAGTGAAAGAAATCCTTTTATGGCTGTTTGGCAGATGCACCCTTACACTTCAGCTGTTGCTCTAATGATAAATGGCACAATAAGCAGGCCTTCATATTGTGCACCTGTCCTTTTTCCTTCAACAAGAAAAAAAAAATAGTTTTCAGCCTTATGTTTCTTCTGTAATACCACCAAGTTAAGCAACTCCGTACAATTTCAACAATCCCAATGGCCAGTGTTCAAATTTTCCAGGGATATACTTCTTGGAAAAGCCAGCATGTAATTGGAGCCCATTAGATTTTTAACTTTCTGAACTCCCTTTCAAGGAAATTATTCATAAACGATGGACCCATTAGAAAGAGTTACCTCAAAGAGCACTAGAAGCTTTGTTTGTGATAAACTCTGGGAAAGACCCCAAGTAAAACCAAGCCTAAAGTTATTGATTAAACAAACAGTGCTTTGTAGTTCCCAGGGTTCAGCACGAGGGACGGAGGGGTGAAGGGAGTGGTAGATTTAAGAAAAACGCCAGGAGATCAATCTCTCCCTGAGGTCCCACCCTATCATTGGTGTTTGTGGTTTTCCTTTCACAGTTTGCACTTTCTTTTAGGTTACTTCTGTCTTCATGACTGATCAAAAGCTAAACTTTGAAACACTCCTTTTGCGACTATGTAGCATTAAGCCTCTTAGGGGTTTACTCAATACCTTGAGCTTGGTTTGAATGCAGCGCTGCCCATGCAACTTTCCCAAGCTTGAAAATTGGAATGACATTTTAAAATCTTAGTCCAATAATGGCAATGCATTAAGGAGCCTGGGTGTCCACCCCTTTAGGTGCAAAATGTTCCTACTTTTTGGTAAAAGGTGACTTGCTCCTTAAACATTCTGCCGTCCTCCTTGGATTATAGCTGTTTGGGTCTTGGTTTGCTTCAGTGGGTCTCTTTTTTAGACTGATAGTATCTTTCTTTGAAGAGATTAGCCAGAGGTGCTGGGTGGGGTGTGCGATGGGGGGGTGGGCTGGTATGTGTGTGTGAACTGAATTAACTTGAAGTGTGTGTTTTTAGAGTTAAGTATCAGGAGTCATCGGGTGGTATTTTGGAGGGAAGGGGCAGGCTGCAGGGTATTTTTGAGTCAAATGCGGCAATTAACAAGAAGTAACAGAAGGGATGTGGATAAATTAACCAAAAGAGTCAAGGTTTACATTTTCCATTAAATAAGTTGTGTTCCCTGGAAAATTCACGTTTAAAATGGAATTAGCTTAATTGGAAAGCAATTACCTCCCTTGAAATGTTCGGTTGTATCGACAACAGTGTTGCTTAGTTTTCTAATGGCTGCCAGAGTGATTAAAGTTGTGATGGCCTTTAAGACCTCGTCCAAATGGAACACAGTTTTCCAAAACAATGTTTCAATTTGTTCTTCATAAAATGGTACTTGTAAACATGGCACCATATCTAGAATTGTCTTAATCTACACCAAAAACAGGAAACAAGGCTCCAACAATTTTCAGTCAGGTCATGTGGACAGTTTCTTTTTTTTTTCTGAAACATTTCACCTTCCATCCAGAAGGCTTCATCAGTCAAGGAAACACACAACACAAAACTGATTCTTCCCCCAAACAGCTTACTCCAAAGTGGAACAAACCAGTTATGTTGGTGCTAAGATGGTGTCTTTAGCCCGCCCCCTCCTCTGGTGCCGGCCCACTTCCTCATCGACAGTCATGTCAAACTGGTTCAAAACCAAAAAAGTCCATGCTCAATAATCCAGGTATCCAGGAAACAAGGATGTTTTTTTCCTGGTCTTACCCAAAGTTTTTCTTGGTTCCCCCTCTATTTAGTTCTCCATGATAAGTCTAGTATGTGGCGTATGTTATGCTCGTTGTTGTTCATTGATTAATACAGCATACAATGGTTTTCTGGGTAGCAGCTAGATTTGGTAGCAACTGTAGCACAAATTCAAGCATATGCTGCCATTGTTGTTGTTGTTTACCCAATGCACTTAGGGTTGTAGGTTAAATCAAAGGTAGGACTATGGTTGTGTTTTATTTATTTTTACGAGTGCCCAATAATAGTCAGTCAGGTCAGGTCTGGACAGTTTCTTTTTTGTGGAAAGATGTTTTGCCCTCTATCCGGAGGACTTCATCAGTCTGAGGAGTCCCAAGTAAACTGTTTTCCTCACTAAACAGTACACTCCTTTAGTGGACCAACCAGTTTGCTGGTGATACGATGGTTTCTGGGGGCTGTCCTGTCCCCCGTCGACTCCTCCCAGGCAGGCAGCCACAGCTAAAGTGGTTCAAGACATCAAAGTTCATGCTCAATCATCCAGGTACAAAATCCAATATCAGATGATGAATCTGATGAAGCCCTCTGGATAGAGGGTGAAACGTCTTTCCACAAAAAGAAAACTGTCCAGATGACCCGACTGACCATTATTGATGCTGTACCTGGATGATTGAGCATGAACTTTGATTTTTGCTAATGCAAATTTCTTAAGTTCAAAGTGGAAGATTCTTGTCAAGCCCTAACCTCAAGGTCCAATATGGTTGAGTTGCACATGCAAAGTTGTGATAGTTGCCGTAATAAACATTTTATTCTCACTTCTGTTACTTTTTTTTATCTCAGTGCAGACACCTAGTGCTGTTCAGTCGCTATTAGTGAACATGTTGGTATGGTTTTTAAATGCACAGAATGTGGAGGAATCCAATATTGGCGTGTTTTGTGATTAGCCTGGTTACTGAGCACAACAGAGCCTCTGGTTTTCTGACTTGCAACTGGATAGCTTTGTGAATGCTGACCTTTTGAGAAAAGCAGTAAATATTAGTGCTATATGTATTGTATGCCAATTTCTGGCCACAACTGGTAGCAAAGCTACTTCAGAGTTGTCAGAGCATAGCTACGTGGCAAATACTATTTCTTGGAATATTTTGGCGATACTGTGATGGTCTGGAGTAAGTTTTTGTCTCTGAGTGGCATTCTTCTCACCCGCCTTTGTCTGTGTGGTTTTTGCATTGCTAGAACTAGGGATGCACAATATTATCGGCATGGTATCGGTCGATATTAGCGTTAAAGTTCAATATCGTACATCGGCCATTCCATTAAAATAACTTGCCGATATAAAAGGCGCTGTTTTTGCCTGCAGAAGCAGCACAATGTGCTCAATAATCTGAAAATTGTTGGATTGTATACCTGGATTATTGAGCATGGACTTTGTTGGTTTTAAACATGTTTTGTGTTGTGCATTTACTTGACTGATGAAGCCTTCTGGATGGAAGGTGAAACGTTTCAGCACCAAAAAATAAATAAAACTGTCCAAATGACCTGACTGAAAATTGTTGGATTGCATACCTGGATTATTGAGCATGGACTTTGTTGGTTTTGAACCATTTTGACATGACTGTCGACGAGGGAGAGGGCCGGCATCAAAGGAGGGGGCGTGCCAAAGACACCATCTTAGCACCAACATAACTGGTTTGTTCCACTTTGGAGTAAGCTGTTGGGGAAAGAATCAGTTTTATGTTGTGTGTTTCCTTGACTGATGAAGCCTTCTGGATGGAAGGTGAAACATTTCAGTACAAAAGAAAAGAAACTGCCCAGATGACCTGACTGAAAATTGTTGGGTTTATTAAAAGTAGCTATAAAAAAGCCCTCTGATGAAGCCCTCTGGATAGAGGGCAAAATGTCTCTATAAAAAAAACGAAACTGTCCAGATGCCCCGACTGAGCGTTATTGGATTTTGTACCTGGATGATTGAGCATGAGCTTTGTTGCCTTGAACCACTTTGGCTGTGACTGCCTGCCTGGGAGGAGTCAACAAGGGACAGGACCGCCCCCAGGAACCATCTTAGCTCCAGCAAACTGGTTGGTCCACTAAAGGAGTGTACTGCTTGGTGGTGAAACAGTTTACTTGGAACTCCTCAGACTGATGAAGCCCTCTGGATAGAGGGCGAAATGTCTCTGTAAAAAAAAGAAACTGTCCAGATGACCTGACTGTGAATTACTGGATAGCTATAAAAAAGTTTAAATTTGTACAAGGAAGCTGAAAGAAGCAGAACAAAATATGAAAGGTGCAGTAAAATGTAAACACATCTAAAGATTTTAAGGATGTTAAATGAGCTCAATTAATTTTCCATGAGAAAAAAAATGGCAGAAAAGGCTAAATATTTCAAAAAGCTAAAGTTGCACCAGTACCAAAAGTCATAGCACCCTTCTACTGAACGTTTTCATATATGATTTGTTGAAATAGCACAAAAATTGCGGAACGAGAAAGATGCCTAAAAACATACGGAAGAAAAATGGCTCTCAATAGAGTGAATGCTTCATGA